TGTAGCACAGACCGCAATTATATACAGGCTGGTGGGCATTGATTGGCTGCCCGAAATGCAAGTAAGATAAAACAGCATGGACCAATCATTAGTGTCTGGGAAGGTAGTCACATGGTTTCTGGGAAATGGTTTGCTCAGTGAAGAAATAGGAACTTAAGGTTTCTAAGATGGCGCATAGCTCTTAGGATGGTGGATAGCTCTCTAAATGGCTCCCGTATCACTCACTTAATGCATCGCCCTCCACACTCCATTTTGACAGTTTTCATATTTCTTGCATGGCATCAGGATGCATTTTGCATAGAAAAACCTATAAAAATATGTCATGACTTTTCAACCAATATTTCAACCCAATATTTTAAAGATTAAAAAAAAAAAGGCAGTTTACTTCCAAAATGTATTTGAGAGTTATAAAATATAAGAACCATGAGGCCAGCAGTTGGCGTAATGGCTATGTTGCTGGACTCCCATGTAGTCGACTGAGGTTCGTGTCCCGGACCTGGTGGCTTAAAACTCACGCCGGGTGCATGTGCGTGCGTGCCCAAGATCCCGAGAGGAGAATGGAGGAGAAGGGATTGCGGCGTGGCCATGCCCCTAGGTTGTGATTTCTCGCTTTCTGTCTCTCTGTCTCTGTCTTTCTGGTGAGCACACGTACCCTATAACAAAATAGCCTCTCAAAAAAAAAAATAAAAAAAAGTCACCACATAGAAGGCTGGCCCCATGACTGATGGTTTAAGGCAGCCAGATCCCACATAGCCAACCACGTGGTTCAAATCCCAGGTTTGTGTGTGCGGTGCATGCCCAACATCCTGAAAGGAGGAAGAAATGGAAAAGGGATTACAACATGACCGTCTTCCATGATGTGTGTGGGGGGACTTTTCCCTCGCACTCTCTCCAAGTCTCTCCATTTCTCTCTGGTGAGCACTGAATCCTCTGGCAAATTTAAATAAAGAAAAACTGAATAAAAGAAGATAGATGGTACAGTCAAAACTGATTTCACCATCAAAGTCACCAAAGCACTAAGAGGCTAAGTGACCCAGCCTCTTCTCAATTGTCTCATGACACCAAAACAGGTCCGTTCTTTTTCTCCCCTCCTTGGCTCTCACGCTTAAAGACCTTGCCTCTCTCTCACACGCACAGAACAGGCAGCTCAAAAATAATAAAATAAAATATAAAATAAAATCAGGGATTTCTTTCTCCAAATTGGCTTCCATTGGAGTTTTTCAGGATTAGGAAAGAATGAGCCAACAGCCTCTCTCCCGGACCATGAGAGGGCAGTAGAGAGTCAAGCCCATGGTGCTCCAAGCATGGTGGAGAGACCAGAGTGCAACACCATCTTTTCTGGCATCAGAAGCAGGTGAGTCTGATAAAAATCACGTTGTCCTATGTATACAATCACGTCATCTGCAAATAGAGTTTCACTTCTTCTTTTCCTATTCTGATGCCTTTTATTTTTTCCTCTTTTCTGATTGCATTGGCGAGGACTTCCAGTACTATATTAAAAGGAGTGGATGGCATTGCACTCCCTGACCCAAAAAATATACTACAAAGCTGTGGTAATCAAAACAGCATGGTACTGGCACAGAAACAGACAGGAGGATCAATGGAACAGAATAGAGTCCCCAGAAATAAATTCCCAAACATACAGTCAACTGATTTTTGACAAGGGGTACCAGTCAATCCAGTGGGAAAAGAAAAACCTCTTCAGCAAACGGTGCTGGAAAAACTGGATTTCCACCTGTAGAAAGATGAATCTGAACCCTTACCTCTCACCGTTGACAAAAATAAAGTCAAGGTGGATCAAGGATCTAAATCTAAGACCTCAAACTATTAGTGTGAATCAACAGCCCTCTGAATGGGAAAATATTTTTGTTAAGTATGCATCAGATAAGGATCTGATAAGCAGAATACACAAGGAACTCAAGGTGCTGTTTGGAAAAAAAATAATCAGCCCTATTAAAAGATGGGAGAAGGAGTTGAAAAAACACTTTCTAAAGATGACATACGAATAGCCAAAAGGCATATGAAAAAATACTCCACATCCCTCATCATAAGGGAAATGCAGATCAAAACAACATTGAGATACCAACTAACCCCAGTCAGAATGTCTAAGATTAAAAAAAAAAAAATGATAAATGTTGGCAGGGGTGCAGTGAAAGGGGAACTCTTTTACACTGCTGGTGGGAATGTAAATTGGTCCAGCCACTGTGGAGAACAGCAATCTTACTTTTCGGTATCTACCCAAAGGATAGAAGAATTCTTAATTGGAAAAGTGCTTCCACATCGATGTTTATTGCGGCATTATTCACGATTGCTAAGACATGGAACCCACCCAAATGCCCCCATACGGATGAATGGATTGAAAAACTGTGGCACATATACTCTATGGAATACTATTCAGCCATTAAAAAAAAAAAAAAACAATAAAACCCTGGCTTTTGACAAAAAGTGGAAGAATATGGAAGATTTACTGCTGAGTGAAGCAAGCCAGGTTATGAAGGAGAGGCACTGTATGTCCCCACTTAATATATACCAAGTGTCTGCACTCTGTGACTGAAACTGATTGACCTAAGGTTGTACAAACACAAGAGATGGGGGTGAGTGCCAGATGTGGTGTGTGTGGAGAAGAGGGACCTAAGGGAGGACATTTGGAAGAGGGATACGGAGAGAGAGCATTGACGGGATGGGGAGGTGTGGTGTTATTGGTGGAAGATACTGTGATCAACTGGACTGGGGAGAAATGTTCACACACATACTGAAATGTTCATTTTGTAAGCTAAATAATGTGATTGAATTTATATAAAAAATTAAAAGTAAAAAAGTGAAAAAAAAAATCATGTAGTCCTGGGACGGTGGTCTTTGCTTTCTCTCGCAAGCGAGGCTCACGGAGCCTTTGAAGTGGGGCACTCTGCTTCTTATCCACAAGAACAAGAGAAGGATGAACCCCAGGGAATGGCTCAAGCCACAGCTGCCAAGGCTTTTCTGAGCAGCGGCCCATAATCACCTCATCGCCCTGCCCCAGTGTCGTCCCAGGACTTCGGGCCCCTGGCATCCTGGGAGGTAGCACAGATGGAAAGCTGGAAGAACATGTCCATCATAATGGCTGGCTTCTGGTGTTGTCCCCTGAGGTCCCAAGCCCTCCAAAGACAAGAGACAGTCGGGAAACAAGAGCCCAGGACTCTTCCGCAGAAACAAAAGGTCGGGGAAATTTGGCAGGCCTCCTGTTCCTGAATAAGTCCCAGATGACGGGACGTTTGGAAGGTGGTCAGTGCTGAAATCCAGACTTGTGGGCCCAGCTGTGCAGCCCGATTCCTCCCCTTGACTCTGTGACACGTGAAAATGAAAAACAGAGTTGGGGGCGGCGGATACTGTTCACCCTTCGCCATTAATTCTGCTTAAATATCTTTAACCCAGACAGGTAGGGCTCTACTGGTGCCTTCAAGCCTTGGTGTGCAGGAAAGAGATGATCCAGGTTCAAATCCCAGCTTTGCCACTCACAGAGCAGGTGGACCTGTGTAAGTCACTTAGCTTTTCCGGGCCTTGGTTTCTTCATCAGCAAAAAGAAGGAAGCCATAATAGTACCTACGTCTTAATTTGGGCCGAGGCTTTACGTCTTCCCTGACTCATTACTGCTCTTGGTGATGGCGGTAAAGATCTTAAAAGAGACCAGGTGGAGGCACGGCTAGATCCCCAGGGGAGGGGTCACAGCCTAGGACCGCCCTTGACCACACCAGGCTCACGGACACGTGCTGTGACCTAGGCTGGCCGAGATTAGGGTAAATTGCGGCGTAAGGACCTGTTTGGGGTCTCTCTCTGTCTCTCATGAAAGAAATTGGTGATTTTTTTTTTTTCAGACAAAAATCTTAAAACACAGAGGTTTTCTGCCCTTATTTCATAAGCCAGCCGAATGCCTTGGGGTCTTTACTATGAAAAAATTCTCTGGGCCAGCAGATGGTGTGGAGATTAAGGCGGCTGGATCCACATGGCCTATTACAACCTCTGCAATTGCCAGACATGTAAGTAAGCCATCCTTCAGATCATTCTAGGCCTAGGGCTGGCACACTGCCCAATATGTCCACAGCACGCCAAGAGTTAGAGACCTGCAAAACCCTCATGTCTACATTTATCAATGTTTGCATCAGAACAATTGTTTTTAAACTATTTCTAATAATGTCTCCTTCTGTGTTTTTATTTTTACACACATAAGTCTTACATAGAGCCTCAAATATAAATGAAACAGACAGAGCTGACGATATATTTGTTAAACTGAGCAGTGGGGGTGGACAGAAACTGGCCTGATGTATCCCTTGCCCTGAGTCCTGCCCCTAATCAGTCTCCCGAGTCTTTCAGAAACCCAGAGAACCAGTGAGTGCTCCAGGGCTACAGAAGTCCTGATACAGTTTAGGAACGGTCTCAAAGCCCGTTTTCTGCTGCTGTAACAGAATTCCACAGAGTGGGTAATTTATAAAGAACAGATATTTATTTGGCCCATGCTACTAGAAGCTGGCAAGTCCAAGAGCTTGAGGAAATTGGACCAAACTTCCCTCTTTTTAACCCATTCCCACAGTGACTCACTTAGTCTTGTGATAACAGCATTCATTTATTTATGACCAGATCACCCCTTAAAGGTTCCATCTCTCAAACTGTTGCCTTGGGGATTAAGTTTCCAACACATGAACTTTGGGAACGCATTCAAACTGGAGTGATCACCTAGGTATTCTGAAAGACAGCGTATTAGGTACAGTCATTCTCAATATTCCAAGAATCAAAGGGTTTTTTCCCCTCACCACATTTATGTAAGCTGACTTTTAAAACTCTCCCATATTTACCCACAGACATCGTCATCTTCTATTATACAAAAGCCTAAAATCCCATTGCACAAAAAGGTTTTTACATGGCAGCATTTGCAAAGATCCCCGCACCCAAGCAAAGCAAGAAAAAAAAAAAAAGTATATTCTAAGTCTGTGTCACCAGTGCCCTCCAGCT